AAAAAACAAAATAAACAACAAAAAACCCAAAACAACCAACAAAAAGTGTGACACTCTTGGGTGTGCATGTGTCACACGAACAGTGAATAAGGCAATGGAGAAAGCCTTTTCCTAAGTTTTTGTTTATCGTCCAACGGAAGATTTGATGTTAGCTACTATGGTGGCTAGTTTCTATTGTCAGCTTGGTGGGGTGAAGAGTCACCAGGGAGACAGACTTCTGAGTGCGTCTGAGGGTGTTTCTGTAGAGATAACTGATGAGGGAGGGCCTACTCTGCATGCGGGAGGCGCCAGGCCTTTGGCTGGGGTGTCAGACCAGAGAAGAGAGAGAAGTGAGCTGAACACCAGCATTCATCTCCTGCTCCTTCCTGGCTGCAGGGCCAACATGACATCACACTCCCGCCGCCCAGCCTCAAGAAGGAAGTATAATCGCCTGTTGTGCGGTGACTAGAAATGGGACTCCAACTCTTTCTTCTTACATTTTAAGGTGAGGTTCTTCAGGAGCCTTTGGAGGAAAGCAAGCTGATCATCGTGGTATCTAGTACTGCACAAGGAAGCAAGACATTTGGGGAGGGTAACCGAGTGACGATGATGTGTTCTGGGAGGACAGGCAGCTGCCTCCCCTGAGAACGTGCTACCGATGGAAGGAGGCCTATTTTGTCATGTCTGTGCCCAGCCGCGAGCCAGTGTAACCAGTGGTCTTCCCTTATACTTGTCTGTTGACTGAATAGGGAGTCCACAGAGCATCAGTGACACACCCACCCACCCTCATACAGATTACATGCTCAAGAGCCTCCTTCACCGCGGTGAATGCCTGTGCCGAGCATTTATGTGGCAAGCAATTATTCTTGTGCTATGAGCCCATTTTTAGAAGTACAATCATACTTCTAGCTCCGAAATTCCACCGTTCACCCTCCAGAGCTGTTAACTTTCATGTCCCCAAGAACGTGGGTGGGTGTGAAGGGTGCATACCTGCCCCTCAGGATGGCTCCCTGAGCAGACGGGAGCATTGCTTAGACTCCTCCCCCTGTCCCGCTGTCCTCTAGCATTACCTTGGAAGGGGCTTTACACCTCAGCGTCTTCCAGCCCGTTCCAGCACACTATGCAGTAAGGCTTGTATGATTTCTCCTCTTCAGTGAACTCAAAGCGTATTCTTTCTCACTGCAGGCATAGCTCATGGCTTGCTTTCTGGCTGCTTTTCTCCTTCCAAAGATCTTATAGAGTTCAACTTGACTCATGTAAATGAATTAAAAGGCTTAAGGAAAGAAGTAATTTATTGAAACAGATTTCTGAACTAGTGTGGAATTACAACAGCAGAGAAAATGGTGGCATATTATGGTAAAGGGGTTTATTTTTAGATGACAAAAGAGAAGAAACTGCAATGGACAATTATGTGGCACTGTGGGAGGGTCAGAAGGAAAAAGTTGCTGGTTAAAAGAATAAAGCAAGAGACTGCAGCTCAGCACACGGATGGCTCAGGGCATGCCACAGTGGGCCTAGCTACAGCCACCACAGTTGACACAAGAAGAATGTGTAATATAGAAGACAGGGGTGGCCTACTTTGTTGCCTCTTTTGAGTCCCATTATCACTCAAGTACACTAGATACACAGGAGAGAATGATATGGAAGAGAACAAACAAAAGAGTTCATGCCAAACACTAGTGCCGGAAAATCATTCCATCCCATTATAGCCCTGAGGAAAAAGAAACACGAAGTCATGATTTACAAAAGACTTAATGTAGGTAGCTACACGTCAAAGTAATCACATTTTACAGCCATCTGCTCCCAGCAGGCGAATGTGAGGGAATGTTTTTCCGACCTCCCTTGAATGCATGAGAAGCCAGCCATTGGGAGCTATTGGGTTTCTGCTGCCTTTCCATTCAATAAAGCACATCTTTAATCTCTATCGTGCTGTAGGCTCTAAAGCCTCACTAGGGAAAAAAATCAGCACAGCACACTATAACGACTGTAGTGGAGCAGCCAGTTAGGCCCAAAGGCTGTTAGGGTCCACGTACGTCAGAACAAAGTGTGGGGATCTTCAGGCCGACCCTGAGATGTTATGAGAGACATGTGGACCCACTCTGCCTACACACTGCCTTACCAGCCTGAAAAGAGCAGTAAGTCAAGCTGGTGAACTTCAGCTACAGTGGATAGGGTCAGAACAGCTCACAGGATGGGCCTGCCCATGGCATCCTGCCTTAGTTACTGATGCCAGGAAATCCGGGTCCTGGAAAGAACAGACTGTTAAGAGAGGAGGGAAAAGAAGGAAACATCTTCATCTCTCTTTCTATGTACTAAACAGGCTAGAAACAATAGTCTGAATTCTAGCAGTGGCTGCTCAATGCTTGAGTTAGCAAGGCTCTTTATGACCCCTGACTGTTACCACCTATCTTGAATCCTATTTTTTTCCCAATCTGTCTGTCTATCTATCTACCATCCATCCAGCATTCTGTCTGCGTCTGTCTGTCTGTCTGTCTATCTATCTATCTATCTATCTATCTATCTATCTATCTATCTATCT